TACATTGGTAAAGATGGATTGGCTCAGATCGATACAGTGTGTAACCAATTGTGTCTCCGATATCCCAACTATAAGCCAGATAGGACTGAGTTATATGTTATATAGATCGTAAACATTCAAAATTCTTTTAAGAATATTGGTGTTTTAAGACTGGTAAGCTTTACAATTTGTGATTACTAAATATAGCTTTAATTATTAATAATATAATCTAAAAGGCTGAAATTAATATAGAATTTTAGGATTTAAAACTTATTATTTTTTTATAATTAAAATTTAAAAAATAAATAAAACAGTTACTGAAAAAATTCATTATTTATCGATTTTTTTCTTAAGACAATAGTGTCCTTAATATGTCATATTTATAAAAGCAATTAAAAGCTTTTCTAATGAAATAATATCATAGATTTATTGCATTTTTTTACGATTCGGAGCGGATTTTCGGTAAATGGTGTTCCTTTTTGACAAAAAAACAAATTGATGATTTAAATTCTCGAAGTAATCCTGCTCTTAACTAATACAAATATGAAAAGACTGAAATTTTAATTTTTCGAAATTTCAAAAAATTAAGTGGGGGGTGGGTAAGAGATGTAAAAATATATTTTTACCAAGATTTTCTAAAAACACAAAATTTCAAAAACAATTTCATTCATGTGTGAATAGGTCCTGAAAATTTTTATTATAATCCTACAATTATTTGATTTTTGCAAGAATTTCCAATTTTTTTTTTTACCGAAAAAGGTCCCTAAAATAACTTCAATAATCTTTGGCTCATCGCTGACAAAAAAAAAAAAAAAAAAAAAAAAAAAAACAGTATTTTTAACAAAAGAATCGAACATGCGAGAAAGAATTAAAAAATTTAAGAAAATAATCAAAAAATAATTTGGTCTTTCCTCTTAATACTAACATACACATTTTGAAGATAAAACTTTGTTTTCATTAAGCCTAGGGCCTTTTTTCAAATGTGATTTTTCAACCGTAGCTCAGATGTGGCACAAGGCCGAAAGTATGGGACACCCAGTGAGGATCGAACTCACTACTAGTATGCCCTGCAGGTTTTAGCGAAAAAAGTGGAGTTACCTATACCTGTTGTACAAGTTACTCTGGTATGGCTGGAAATATCAGTTGTTTTAGCGAAAATGTGGAGTTACATATACCTGTGGTACAAGTTACTCTGGTATGGCTGGAAATATCAGTTAAATCATTACAGGATACCCTGAGCAAAATCCGCTAATATCTAGATATTAACAGCAGGACAATAGTTTAGTTAACCATTTTGACTGAGTTACATCGTCAATGCGCGCTATGGTTTTTTTTTTGGGGGGGGCAGAATGAAGGCTGTGCAATCGGAATGCGAACCTACGAACACGTCGTTTAAAATCTACACGCACAGAGACACCCAGCATCTGTCATTGCCCTCTCTTATCGATTCTTCCTTATCTATCGTGTCTATTTTGACATAGACCGTCCTCCAAGTAACCCATTTGCTACGTCACTTGACAAAAAACTTCCCGCCAATGACAATGTAATCGGCTTACAGGCTGATGGCAGTCCTATCGTCCGTACAGTCAGATCCACGCTGTCAGAGCTCCAGCCATAGCGAATCAAGCTGATCTTCTGTTTGACCAGAATTTCTTTTCCCGCATTAGTCTCACCGATCGACCAATTAAAACGAATTAATGTTGAAACAACCTCCCCCTTAATATGTTTTCTTTTTATACTCCCGGGTTTATTTTTCTTGATTTCATTTTTTTTTTTTTTTTTTGGTTATCCTGGCATACTCCGTTAACTGTATTAGATAGCCAAGCTAGTTGAGAAGGTATTTATTGCAGTGGTTGACCAATATCTCGTAGCAATTGTCAGAATTAAGCCGCTGGCCTTATATTGGCTCGTGTTGACAGTTTTCGTGACTGTCTTCGTCTCCAGATTTTGATCCTTTGGCGACTCAACGCTGAGGACTTTGTTCGGCAATCCGAGATTAGAGACGATGAAAAGAACAATGAATATTAGACAGACATTTTCTTCCGATGGTTTCTGTCTTTTCACTTTTTTTTTTTTCTTATTTTCCTGCCATTATTAATTTTATTTTATTTTCTATTTACAGCTAAAGCATTCCATGCTAAATCCACAGAGTCAAATCATTTTTATTTCCTTTTGTATTCCAGTTGCAAGGAGAAAATACTACTTAGCTAACACGCCAAAAAAACATTCTTTTTTATGGAAAGTACTCTCGCAGAAGAGAATCTCTGAATCTTACAATCTTCGAGTCACGAGTCATTCGTTCTTTATCTTATATTTTACGAGCAGCATGGCCCGGCTTTGCCCGTGCTTGATTCAAAAATCGTACGACTCATACAGCAATCGCTATCACTTGACTTAAAATATTTTTGCCCTTTCTTGACTTTAAAGGAGTGCCCTTTGCCGTGCTGATGTTGCTACATGCCTTATTTCTTGCCTATCTCACACTGCGAATTTTTTCTAAGCTCTATACTAAACATTAAAT